AAAGACTGGCTACTGGTTATTTATACTTGCTTAACTTCAGAATGAGTTTCTGCATTTTTAGTCTTCTACCTCTAATTGAAGAATAAAGACTATTTCCACTAAAGCATTTTTAATTTTATCTAACAGATGGAAAGTCTCTGTCATATGGTGTATTTCAGAGAATGAGGTGTAAAAAAATTGCATTCCACCTACTAATAACCAAGACTTCAAAGGTAATCCAATTCAATCCTGGAGAAAGGTAGAGGTTGTACAAGGAAAGAGATCGCTTTCTCCTTCCTGTATTCACTGATCCTCTATTTTTCCAGGAAAAATAAGCCTTGAAATGGCTATTTACAGCTGCTAGAAGGGCAGTGCCTGCTGTGTGAGGGTATAAATTTGTATCCACTCAAAATTAAATTCTAGAAAATTCAACTGGGAATTCCCATCACCCACCACCACACCACTGCTAAACCTACTGCATTTACAGACCATTTCTTCTCTTTGCATCCCTATATCCCAAGTCTTCCAGGATAACCTTTGTTTCAGAAATACTTAATGATTTCAGTTATTACTTCTAGGTATCTCGACATATATACCAATATTATTTTACCTCTGGTAAAACTGAGAACACATGCCCCCGGAATGAACACCGTTAAACAGTAAACATGGAAAATAAGATAACAGAGAGAAAAAAGCCTACTAGATACAATTTGCCATCTTCCCCATTAATCCTAAATCTTAATATATAACCTTGTCTCTGGATTCAGATGTAAACAGATTTCTAAATCCCAATGAGTTCTAATCTCGGATTTAAATATTTACCAAAAAAGCTCCAGCTCTGTATTCATATAACAAAACAGAAACACTTCTGGACTACTTCACACTTTTCTCTCACTTACTGGAATGAATTAACAGGAAAGCAAACCTAATTTCTGAATCAGTTAAAAAATGTACCACCTTTATATGTCCTCTACCTTCTCATCCAGGAAGAGGCAAGAGAAGAGAGAAAGCATCCCTCAGATGATCTTCCCTACTCCCCAACCTGCTCTTTTCTAACAGACCTGACCTTGGATCTATACACAACACCTTAACTGTGGAAGCTGAGGTTGCCAGGAGCAGCTAGACTAGCACTTCCTTTAAACCGCCTAGACTTTAGACTTTTGGGTCATAATTAAACAATTTAAATTGGGGGGGGAAAAGTCTTTGAACAGTCTGGCAGGTCCTCAAAAGGTAAACATACAGACTCACTGTATGACCCAACAATTCCATTCCTAGCTGTATACCCAGAGAAGTGCCCACACAAAAACTTTTACATGAATGTTTACAGCGGTATTATTCACAATAGTCAAAAAGGGGAAACAACTCTAATATCCACCAAGTGATGAATAAATAAAATATGGTGTATTCATACAGTGGAATATCATTCATCCACAAAAGGAATGAAATACTGAGACATGACACACTATGGATGAGTTTTTAAAACATCAGAAGAAGCCAATCACAAGAGATCACATATTACATGTTTTCATTTATATGAAATGTCTAGAACAGGCAGAATCCATAGAGACACAGAAACAATAGTGGTTGCCTAGTGCTGGGAGAGGGCTGAAAGGAAAAAAGGAGTGTTGGCTAATGGCAACAGGATTGTTTGAGGGTGGTGGTGGTGAAAATGTTCTAAAATTCATTGTGGTGATGGCCGCACAACTGTGAATATACTAAAAACCATTTAATTATACACTTCAATAGGTGAATTACATATATCTCAATAGAACTTTTATTTAAAGAGAACTTTAATGTGGTTTTATTAACCTATTTCATTTTTCAAATCCATTCCTTTTTTTAACCTTCAAAAGGACATATGAGAAAGCTTCCTATTTGCTTAGTCTGTCTCAGCCTAACTGAATTTTTGGAGTACATGATCCACAAGAATGGAAATGATCACAGTTCCACAAATTCAGACACAATACACACACAGTATATATACACATAAAATATACATACTAAAATACATGATATATATATAACAGGCATATGTTAATTATCAACTGGTAAAGCTGAGTTTTTAAACACCTGGATCAAGTCTGGTTGGGAACAGAGCTAGTGGGAAGCAGTTTCTCATCCTATCCTCTTCCCAAACACATCAATCTTCATTCCATTTCATCTCCTCCCAAAATAAACACATTTATAATTTGAATAAAGTTTGCAAGGTGATTATGCTATACTCCCACTGCCATCCTAACTCCTTTTGGAACTAGCGATCAAAGTAGAAAGCTTTCACTGGGTTTTCCAGAACACCCATAGGAACTAGATTTAATTTATACTATCAGTCAAGAGCACTATTATAAGCCACAAGAATGTGGTAACAGGGTCACTACAGGGGATAGCGTGGCAGGCGTCTTTGGCTTTTAGTTCCAAGTAAAACTTAACCCAATATACTGGAGGAACATGCGCTATTCACACAATATATCAGTACAGTGTTTTGCATTAAATAACAAAATTTTTTAAATGTTCTAAAGGCACTTTGAAATTATCATCAACCACATGCCCACTCAAAAAAGAAAAAACACAAAGCAACTCATAAAATATAGTTACTAAAAGTGTTACAGCTGACTGGCAACTTGATATAATAAAAAAAAGTCAAGAGCATGTTTTGGAATTACAATCAACATTTTAAAATGAGATGAAGTCCTGCTGATGTTTTCCCCTAATGTGGAGACATTCTGACCAAATTTTAACTTTTATGTTCATTTAATACTTAAAAAAAAATCTAACTGTAGCTATTCTGCTAGGCAGCTTTACAAAATACCATCATTTGAATCCGAGTTAAATTTAATGAGCAAGTAACATCACTGAAAACCAAGGCAGACAAAACAATTTTTATTTAAAGACTAAAAACAATTACTTTTTAGAAAATCCAAGTCTGTTCTGGATGTCTTTGAATAGGTCTAGATTTTGGAAGGGGAAAAGAAAAGGAACCTGTAGACCCAAGGAGGTACTGTCAAACTAAATATACTTCCTGGGATTAAGAAGCAAGTAATGAAACTCTACTGATGGGAGTGTGCTGAATATATGAACCAAGAGGAGGCTGGAAAAGCCCAGAAATCACTTTAGACTGGCAGTTCCTTTTGTTTTCTTTTTGGATTCCTGGTGACTAGCATAAAGCAGGTCAATAAATGCTTGCTAATCTAAAAGGGGAAAATGTCTGAACTAGGTTTCTCACCCCCCCCAAAAAAAGGGTGGGGGGAGAGACATTATATCCAAAGCCAGAACCAAACATTTAATCTGAATTCACAAAACTAATGGAATCACTCAGCCTATCTTTTTCCCTCCATATCTTCCTTCCAATAAACTTAACAACCCACTAGTAAGTTTGTCATTAAAAAAAAGTGCATCTAACTTAAAAGATTCAAGATCAAACATTTAAAAACACGTAAATCTACTGTTTTATGCCTATAAAGTATTCATATATGTTAACTGTATGAAAAATAGAAGGGAAGAAGTTGAGATACAAACATCAGGTTTTTAAAATACTTAAATTTATAAACCAAGCCTGGATTTCCCCCCAAAGTTAATGAGACATTAAAATTTTTAAGTAGTTTTATTTCCCTCTTGAAACAATGCACAATTACAAAATACAATTTTTTTTCAAAATAAATGTCTCATAGACCCAGCAAGATGTTCACATTTGTTAAAAGTCCACCAAGTCTTAAGCAGTGAACACTGACTACAGGCACCAGGGGGCCTCCCAGGAATAACTTGATATTAGTAAAGGAAAAGGTAAGTAAGAGTTTCTGGTAAAACTTTGCTTCTTATTCAGTCTTAAGACTGCTGGGAGGCTTTCACATCTGGAGCAAATAAACTGTAGTTTGTTACACAACAGGGACACACAGAACTGATAAGATACCGACACATGGACTGAAAAAGGGAACTAGCCCGCCACCCCCCCAATACAATCTTCTTTGATTATTTTCCAAATATAAGTATATACTGCACTTCATTGTTGTAAACAGTTACCTTCAGGTAATCTGAAAGCAACTAAATTAGTGCATATGCACTCCGAGGTTTCCAACAGAGAAGACTAAATTTTCTTAAAGGCTTATTTTCTTTTCTACACATTCACAAAGCAATTAGTGGTGACGCAAATTTTAGGGTAAAGGGATTCACTGGCCGAAGACTACGATTAACTTTGAATATCATCCTGGCCCCTCTCTCTCTTCCCTTTCCCTCAGTCCCCCAACCCAACCTAATACTGTTCAATAAAAACAGAAGGACCCGGAAACTTCAAAAGCCGCAAAGACTTGTATATGCCTTTTAAACACAAGAGAGGCTTCACAACAGACCTTTTTCTAAGTTTGTGCAGAAATTAAATCCTGCTCAAACCTGTTAAACTCCAACCCGAAAGCTAATCCCGTCAGCAAACGCGTCTACATATTTTTCTTGAGTGCATCTTCAGCTCGATCAAAGACTTGTGTTTTACTCTTTTTTTCCAAATTTATTTCCAATAAATTGGAGGTTAACTCCGGCTAATGTTAACCTCTCCTTAAACAGAGTTCGTCCCATAGCATCATGTAAAAATGCGGAAGAGATCCAACAACTGTCTCAACGGGAAGGTTTTTATAAAATTCACTCCCGGAACAAGAATCGGAGGCAGCCAAGGGCAATGCACAAAGAGAACAGAGAAGAAATACACGTTCCACGGACATACAATGCACAGAAGCTCGCATCCTCGCACCCTCCTTGAGAAGGGTCACCCAGCACCCTTGGGCTCCTCGCAGCCCCCGGCCGGCGCGACGCCGTGACGGTCCACGGGGACCCTGCCCGCCGAGGACGGCACCTCTCGCATTGCCTCCCACCGACCGTGTTCCCGGAGGCCGCTCCCCCCGGCCAAGCAGCCTCTTCGCTCCCTCCACCGCGGCCGCCGCGGGGCGGGAACGGGGGTCCCCTCGGGTTTCGGCGGCGGAGGGGGAAGAAGGGCTGAAGGGGGCGCCCCCTCCCCGCGGCCGGCCGGGCCCCGCACTCACCCTCCAGCAGTCGGGTGATGAGACTGTCCACGTTCAGCTCCCCGTCCGCCATCTTGTCGGCACCAGACGCTCCTTCCCGGCAGCGGGAACAAGGGCTTCACGGCGGCGGAGGCTGCGGCGACCGCTCGGCGCTCCCTCACCTACAAGTCACGCGGCGTTTCGACCCCGGTTCCAACTCCCCCTTTTCCCCGGGCCCTCCCCCCACCCCCTCCCCACCAAGTAGTGGAGCGCGCGTACACTGGGAGGCACACACGATAAATAAATAAATAAACAAGTGGGGCCCCCACGAACCGGGCCGCGTCAGACCCAGCCGCCACCTCCTCCTCCTCGGCACCGCCCAACTCCGCAAAGCTCACCAGCGCCGCCGACGGCCCCACCCGCAGCGCCACTCACTGCACACCGCCCTTCCCCGCCACCGCGCCACGCAGCCCTTCGCGCAGGCGCACGGCGCACGCCTCCGCGGCCGCCCCGCCCCGCCACGGCCCTGGCCTTCCGCGCAATCGCACTGGGCTCGGTTCTCCCGCCGCTCCCGCCGTCGCTGCCTTCGCGCAGGTGCGCTGCCCTCTCGCGCCGCTTCCACTGCGCCGAATCGCCGCGGTGGCGCAGGCGCCCCATGGCTGGCGGGATTCGCTGGGCTGGGGAAGTTCCCATTAGGCGGAGCGCGCGTAGGCAGCGTTGACCTTCCCGCTGCCCAGCTGCCCGGGTCGGGGCTCTCCGCAGGCAGCGTTGTTGGGCCCTTCCCACCTCGCTTTTCTTTTCTTGGCTTCCTTCCCTAGTTTTGCAAGCAATTCTTCATGTTTCCGTTAACCGGGAAACGTAGACTACATTACCCATGTTGGAAACCCAAGTTTACGTGTTTGGGAAGCCACAAGGGGTTACTATGCTGGAAAAGTTTGACATTGCAAATAAGGGTTTTATACCCTATTGTTCCACAAAGCTAGTTGCCCAAGTGTCTGGATGAAATACGTTAAAGTGGGCTCTGGAACGGTCAGCAATAATATTTTACGTGGGTACTGCTCTCTACCTTCTGTATCCTGCTTCCACACATCTTACATCTCCGTCCACTCTGCGCATACTATTTTCCCCCAGTGCTTTTTTGTTCATACCTCCATTATATTGTTTAATCATCCTGCCTTGTAATTGTTTATGCATTTATCTCCTACACGAGACTGTAAGCTTCAACAAGGTAGACCCACCAATTATCTGGCACACGGAAGAGGAGGACAAAGAAACATGGAGGTTCAGAAAGGTTGGTTGCCCAGCTGTTCTTTCCACCACATAATTCTGTCTCTAGAAAGGCAGGAGGAAGAGTAGCCACGCGAACGATCTAGGGAAGTCAGAGTTTTTGGCCTGTTCTAAGAAGGTGGTCAGATCAAAGGTCTTCACTCATTCCTCAGGTGTTTGTCCAGAAACTCCGACAAGGTGCATTCCCAAGCTCAAGGCAGCGCTTTTCCCCACTCACACATCACGAATACTAGGTAACATTGAGATTCCTGCATGTGCTCTGGCACTGTTTTAAGTGTTCTACATTATCCTATTTAATCCTTAAACCAGCCCTATGAGGTAAGTACCATTCTCTCTACTCTGTAGACGGGATTAATTGAGGTACAGAATGATTAGATACGTAGCCCCAAATTACACAAGTAACTAACAGATCTGGGATTCAGACCCACGCATCTAGTGCCAGAGTTTGCACTCTTAACAATTGTGATATACTCCCTCTCAGTATATGTAAACTGAGATGCTTAAATATGCATGTGCTATCTCACAAACTTGGAAAGTAGAAACCATAGGGGTTTTTTTGGTTTGTTTTTGTTTTTTGTTTGTTTTTTTGGAGGGCTAGAGAGGAAGCATTGTCCAATCAAGTGCTTTATAATGGCCCGGATGACTTACAGAGTTAGGATTTCCTTTTTTTTTTTTTTTAAGATTTTATTTATTTATTTCGCAGAGAGAGAGACAGCAAGAGGGAACACAAGTGGGGGTGGGGGGGCTGGGGGTGGGAGAGGGAAAAAAAAAGCAGGCTTCCCGCGGAGCAGAGAGCCCAATGCGGGGCTTGATCCCAGGACTCTGGGACCCTGACCCGAGCCGAAGGCAGATGCCCAACCACTGAGCCACCCGGGCACCCCCAGAGCTAGGATTTCCTAATGCCTTTTTTTTTTTCCTTCTAACTTTTTCTCCATTTGGGATTTAGCTTGTACATTAATGGTGAGCATGGAACAGGTGACAACTATAATGGTGATCCTGTCTGGAGTAGTTTTCACAGACTCTTATTGCCAGTTCATTTGGGGGCTTTTGGGGGTGAAGAAATTGTTCATCACATTCTTGTTCTACTAAAGAACATTTTTTTATTCCCTGTTTTATTCCAAAAGAAGGGATTTAGGCTAGCTTATGAAAATACATGCGGTAGAATAAATTAAAAATAAGTACAGAGAAAAATAGGACAAAAGAAAACAAAGTAGGAAAGATAAAATAAAGCCAGCAGTTTTGTATGCAAAGTGCATGGTGTACGGTACTGTTGGTTTGCTAGGGATAGGCCACAGATATAATTCTAAGCTTTTTAGCAACCAGAGAAAAGATCAGTTGCAAGTGGAGTAAGTATTCTAGCTGAGCTGGAACTGGGACTTGAATACACCAGCTGTGGAGTTGGATGCCACTTTCCCAGATCTCTTCCATGAACCTCTTAAAGAGTAACAGGATGCTTGGGAACAATTAAATAAGTGATTGCTTATCTTCCAATTTTCATGGCGCCCATGGACCCCATGAAAAAGAACTTTGAACCTGTCCACAATTAGGGTTTAAATACACACAGACAGATTTAATGGACAAGGACACCCAAAGGAAACTGTATTGCGCAAGGAGAAAGTAAGCATCTGAAGAGAAATCACCACAAGTGGGGCAAAGAGAGGCCAGTCTCAGCAGAGTTGTGGGAGTCAGAAGGGATTGAAGAGTGGTCCTGAGTACTGCCTGCAGACATCCCCTTCTCCAGGTTTTCTAGTGCTTTGGAATCCTGGGAAGGAAAGGGCGAGTATAAAAATGAAAAGCTATATCCCTAGAGGCCCAGCCAACTTTTCTGTGGGATCTCCTTCCAAAAGAATTATATAAGAATTCAGATTCAGAATTCCTCGGATTTTGAAGTTTAACTGGTACATATACTATATATTACTTAACACCCCAGCAGCTTCTGGGGCAGCTCACTATAATCTGAAACATTATTTTTTTAAAAGAAAATCATATGAATATTCACATCGTGTAAGATAAATAAAACTACATTATGTCTCATATCAGTCTAGGTCAGATTTGCCATTAAAGTAGCTCCCCTACCCCCAAATAAAATGTATTTATTGAAGGAAATTTGGAAGACAAAGATAAAATGTAAAAATCACCTATAATTTCACAAGCTATAGATAACCACTTTCCTGTCTTATACCTGAATATAATACTATTTTATAAAATTGGAAAAATAAAATAAAATTGGGATCATGCCTCACTTCCATTTTATCCTACTTTGTTAAATGAGGTTTGGTCCCACATTTGTGCGGAACTCAGTTTTCAAAGTTTATTTGGATTTTTTTCCTGTTTGCATTTTCTTTTTTTTTAACATAGTTTTTTTAAAAATTATTATTAACATATGTATTGTTCGTGTCAGGGGTACAAGTCTGCGATTCATCAGTCTTACACAATACACAGCGCTCACCACAACACATACCCTCCCCAATGTCCATCACCCAGCCTCCCCATCCCCCCACCTCCCCTCCAGCAACCTTCAGTTTGTTTCCTGAGATTAAGAGTCTCATGGTTTGTCTCTCTCTCTGATTTCGTCTTGCTTCATTGTTTCTTCTCTTCCCCTATGATCCTCTGCCTTGTTTCTCAAATTCCACATATTAGTGAGATTATATGATGATTGTCTTTCTCTGATTGACTTATTTAGTTTGTTTGGATTTTAAAATGTGGATAAGAGTGGCTTCTAGGTGGGTGGTTAAGCGCCTGACTCTTGATTTCGGCTCAGGTCATGATTTTGGGGTCATGGAATAGAGCCCCATGTAGGACTCTGCGCTCAGTGGGGAGTCTGCTTGAGATTCTTTCTCTCTCTCTCTCTCTCTCTGCCCTCCCTCCATTTTCTCTCTCTCTCTCAAATAAATAAATCTTTAAAAAATGTGAAGAAGAGATTGAGGACAGAGGAAGAGGTAAGAGGTGGAGATCTGGAGGCTGGAGGAGACAATGCTACAGGCAGTAGCCACAGAGGCAGTTGGAGCCACCATGAGGTTCAAGAGGAGGTGGGTACCAAGTAGAGAGAAACCCCACTTGGCAGATATTGACACTAAGGAGACTCTTGGCCTGAATGTGAGCAGTATCCTGTTGGCAGAATGGAGATCATCAGTTAGGGAAGCCAGCAACGTGGAAGCAGAGACATGAGAAGGCTGCCAATGGTGTAGCAGACATTGGTTGGACCAGGCACTGTGGTGGGCAGCAGCCCTGTAGAGCACCCACACCCAGAAATCAGAAGACTTGAGAGCACGGGACTGACAGTTGGTGGTTCTGATTGCCTGTAGGAAACTGCCTCTCAGTCTTTTTGAACATGTGGCAAGACTCAGAAAAGGGATCATGGTAAGGTCCTGCTCCTTGTTAGATCAGGATTGTTAATCTCACAGACCAAAGGGCAAACTGTGAGCTGGGACTCCCAACCTAGTGGGGCTTTAGATAGCGGTGTGCTGGAGCCTGCTTACACTGGCTCATGAGAGTCAATTGTTAAACTTCCAGAAATTCTGCAAGCCAGTTAAACAGAGCCATTATTTAAAAATTAAATTATATGGACTTACAAATAAATTATACTAAAAACAAAGGTAATGATTACTCAAAACTCATAATGTCCTATTTTGCTACATTTTACTATTATGTATTGTCTAGTGGTTGTTTGAATTTATTGTATCTGTATGGGGGAAATACTAAACAATGATATGCTACTGTGTATCTCTTTTCCAACTCCGTGTTCAGTGACATCACATTGGCCATGGTAGGAATATTTACACCAAGGAAATTAGCAAATGCTGTGAATCTATAGCTATTTCTGCCACATAGCTTGCTGTTAAACATTTGCCAGTACACCACTGGGCTTAGGGAGACATTTGGGTTACACATGCCAATATCCTTGGGTAATTACAGGAATGTCTGTGGAGGGATATTAGACTTTGTGATATCAAGGGATTGGGGAATCATAATTTGGGGTATTAACAACATCATGATCTTATATGTGCTTACTAACAGAAAATGCCTGGGACCCATCAGTGCCCATTAGACAAAGGCAGACCAGTGCTCAGAGGACCCCAACCATCACTATGTTGAGACCAGAGAGATGTTCCTGAAGGATTGTCCTCAAAGAAGAACATAGTGAACAGCAGCCTCATTATTTCTTTTAGTAAACACAGCACAGACTTTCATAAGA